TCACTCCCTTTCCGGAAAAACATAGGCTAGATCTACTGCAATAATAGAGAAAGACAACCGGTGAAGCGTGAGGAAGGTTCTCCACAGGGCCCTTAGACGTGACACCCGTACAAAGAGGCGCGACACTCGTTCAAAGAATACACTGATACAGCTCCAAGATATCGGAACAAAAGGCCTCTCTCCATGTCGTGGTCTCAGTCTTTGCTTTTCCTCTACAGTTCGGCTTTAACTCCTTTGCCATAGCTCGTCCAACACAAAACTTCATTGTAGGTTTTTGTGAATAAGGTAGTTTTCTTTTGTCGTTTTTGTTGTTTTTTGTTTTGGTGAATGCGTAATGTCATATGAGCACGCGGGACACACCAAACATTTTCAGTTGGTGGAAATTTTGAATTTGGTCTGGGTGGCGGCCGAAGCCTACTCTTATCAATGTTGGACCACCAAGGTAACTGTAATGAGCGCAATTTGCACACGGGGACCTCTGATATTGTTCGCCCTTATCCGAGAAGGCTAGGTGTTAGATCTTACCTACCATAAGATTAGGGGTGTGGCTGACAGACAGCAGTAAGAAGAAGCCAAGGAGTAGCAGTAGAAAGGCTGCAGAAAGCGTCAGGAACCCAGAGGAGTGGTCAAAGCAGGTGAACTAACGTTTGATTCCTTTAACTTTGAGTCTTGGGGTTTTGAATATTTGACAATTCGGATTACAATTTGTCTGCACGAGCAGTTTTTTCAACGTCATTCTGCTAGGCGGGGTGCTGTGTCACATACGTCTTGGCAGGAGCTGATTTTTTTCTGCGCGTCCATTTGAGGTTGAAAAAATAGTATTTGCTGTTCTGGGGCATAGTTCGTTATAGTTTTTATTTACTTTATTTGGTTCAGATAAGCAAAACATCCTTTGAATACATGATATAGGAACTTTCTTAAAAAGAAACAATAAATGGTGAGTAAGCAAGGAGTGTTATTGAAAGAGCAGGAAAAATGTCGACTTCTTCTTATACGGTTAACTTAAAAAAAAAAAAATGAAGACAAAATGCGAGTCCAATTGTAAGACATCATATTTGAGTCAATGAATTAGTTGCTATTTTTAAAAACAAAGACAAAGAGAAAACATTAATTATTAATATTCGTGCCAGAGCCATTTATTTAAAGTCAATTTGAGACAAGATTACTAAAAAAAAAAAGGTTTGATAAAAATCGACGTTGTCAGTCAGAAGCTATTTACAATAAACCACGGATTTTTTTCTTGAACGTGCTATACGTGTTCTACTTTGTATGTATCATAATCCTTTAGTATAACGTATAACATTCTCAGGGGCAGTAGCGATCTAGGACGGTGGAAGGGTTAAATGAAAACCGGTTGAGCGGGTACGCTTTCTGTAGATGACGTCACAACGGGCAATTTTCTTTGGCTGTTTGTGTTCAAGGCCTTTACTGGATTCTTAATAATAATAGATAGCATTTGTATAGCGCAAACCCCCGCTTAACAGCAAGCTCTATGCGCTTCACAATCTATACTATTACCCCAGCAGACCTGAGAGCATTCTGAAACAACCTTAACTTCCTAGGAAGCATACAGTGCAAGCAGCCATTTATAGGCGCTAAATACTAACATACTGACATGATCTTTCGCTGTCTATGGCCGGGTACCCATTCCCACCTGGGTGAAGTGAGGAAAATTCGTGTAACGTGCCTCTCGGCAGCTTGAACCCCCGAACCCGCAATCTCACGATTGCGAGTCCGGTAGCCTAACCACTAGGCCACCGACGCCACAAAAAATGACATAATAATGTTCTTTCATGTTATTTCCGTCTAAGCTGAGATTGCAGTCCCCCAGGGGAGACCAAGACCTCATACACAAGAGGAAAGTTTCCCGCTCGTTGCACGGCTGCACGAATACAAACGAGGCACTTTTTCTTCGCCTATTTTGCCCCTTTTACTTCAATATTTAAACGACGCCATACTTGAATCTACAGTTTTGTTTTTGGATCGGGCTTCCAACTCTATTTTGGCCCGTCTCCGATAAGACAGAGCCAGGTGCGTGCATTGAAAAAAAATTATTATTGTACTCTCACTGAACAGTATACATGTACGTCCAAAAAGACCTTATTAATGATTCGGGGTTTTTTTTGTGTGTGTTTTAGAAGAGGTTTCACCGCGCTCGCAACTGCATAAGGCCATATGAGCGCTAAGGGGTGGGTGTCAACAGAGAAGTCCTTACCGGGAATCAGACTTACTCTGCTCACCTCCCTAGCTTCAACAGCACAAAGTCTGCTTCGACTATCAAGGCA